TGAGAGCTGATATTTTAAAGTCCCCTCCACTATGAGAGGCAAGGCCAGAGGAGGAGAGTAGGCAGGGGGTGGCCACCATGTGATGGTGATGGAATGAAATCTTTGGGGACAGGGCTGTCCTAAGTCTTCTGGGAGAAGAAATTTTGGGGGTGGGGTGCAAATATAACCAGGAAGTTTCTATTTCCTCTAGAAGCTTTGAGCTGGCTCATCCCCTCAGCCTTCTCTGCAGGCTTGGCTTCTCCAAATGGACGTTGCTCAAACACAAAATATAAAGAAGATCCTTCTAAAGACCACAACTCTCCACCTCCTCGGGAGTGCCCCTTCCACCGCTCTATCCCTAGGAAGACTTCCGGGCCCCCTACCGGGTCTTGGCAAGCGCTAAACTATCAAGGGACCCCAAAAATGCATTTTCCCAACGTAAACGGATGGGGGTCTCGGGCCTAGAACTTCGTATAGAGCACCCTCCCAGGTTGCAGCCTGCTCTCGGTCCCTGCCCTCCGCAGCCCCCTCGAACTATCCAGTTTTCTACCTCCCAAGAGTTCTCGGGAACCACGCCCCGCCCCCGGGATCCTAGGCCCCCAGGTTCTGGCGCCCCAACCCAGGCCTTTCAAGCCAGCAGAATCCGGAAGCGACCTCAGTACGTTTTGCCCCGCCTCTTCCGGGGCTTCTCTAGGCCCGAGCGCGCGGTTTCTGTGGCCACCAGAGGCAGCGCAAAGCTCGCGGGCAGCGGCGCCTCCTGGCGGGCCTCGGCCGCAGCGCTCTGCCGGTCTACTGAACGTCTGATGACACCGGCTTTCTGCTTCCTCCTGTCCTGTTGCTTCACACCCTCTGTTTCAGGAAACTCCCTCCCTGTCTGCTACCGCTTCGCGGAGATTAGATGATGATTTGAGTGGTGCCCCTCTGGATCCTTGTCTTCTCCCTGAAGACGGGGAGGCTTGGTACCAATCGCCCGCTCTCAGCCCAGAGCCAGTGCACCATGGAGTTCCTCCGGTGCCCTGTGGATTTTGACTCCAAAGCTGATGGAGAGGAGCTGGATAATACTCGGCTCCCGGAACGCTCAATCAAGAGTGTATCTAGCTGGGCATGGTAGCACATGCCTGTTATTCGAGCGTCTCCGGAAGCTGAGGTAGGAGGAACGCAAATTGGAGGTCTACCTGTAATTTAGTGAGGCCCTAATTGAAAATAAAAACAAAAGGAGCTGGAGGGAGAGATGTCACTCAGCGGTAGAACGCCCCTGGCCTAGGGGTCTAGCCCCTTCTGCTCTGGGGACCCCTCCAAGGTCAGGCAGGTGGGGAACCTGGGCTGGCTCCTTTCCGTATTCACCTCCCGGTCGAACTCCCACCTGAAACCTTCCTGCCTGTCTTCCTCTGGTATGCCAGCCAGGAAGACTTCCAGAAATGCCTTGGAGCCTTAGAGGTGAGAGGGTCCCAGCCACTGGGCTGGGCAATGCAGTGGGCCATTGTGAAACCGTGACTCCGCGGTTGATCGCATGGGGGCAGCAGAGGCCGCTTCTAGCAGACCGGGGCGATTAGATCTCTGGCTAAAACTGTTCTGACCCAGCTGTGCCTGGCATGGTGAGTTTACAGCCCTGTGTGGTTTTGAAAGCAGTTTTGTTCTCTCAATTTTTTTCCAGGGATACTTTTTTACTAAGTCACTCTCAGTCAATTATCACGGCTCCAAGTTGTTTGAAAGAAAGTCAGTTGCTGGGTGACTTTTCTCTGGGGTCAAGACAAACATCTGGATGAGTTCCCTGGGTCTCTTCACATTCTCATTGTTGTCCCTGGGATGCGTCTGGGACTCATAATGTCTTAATATCTAGCACTTGGTCAGAGATCAGCAGCCACCCTTCACACTTTCTGTTTTTTTTCTTTCTTTTTTTTAATATTTATTTTTTAGTTTTCGGCGGACACAACATCTTTGTTTGTACATGGTGCTGAGGATTGAACCCCGGCCGCACGCACGCCAGGTGAGGGGGCTACTGCTGGAGCCACATCTCCAGCCCCCCTTCACACTTTCTAATGTGCAGATTTCACTATCCAACCTCCCACAATGGTCCTCCAGCTCAGTTTCCCCAGCAGTATATTCACAGAAGTCCTTCACCTACCTTTGGCTCACACCTGACCAGCCTATTCCATTCCTTCCCCCACAATAGCATCTTTCCAGTTTGTTTGTTTGTTTGGTACTGGGAATTAAATCCACGGATGTTTTACCACATAGCTACATCCTCAGTCCTTTTAAGTTATTTATTTTTTTTATTTTGAAACAGGATCTCACTAAGTTCTGGGGCTGGCCTCAAACTTGTAATCTTCCTGCGTCTGGAGCCACTGGGACTGCAGGCATGTGCCACTGCCCCGGGCTTCCAATCTTTCTTAAAAGCCACTTTTGGCTCTGCCCCTTTAACTTCACATAAGTTGTCTATATTAGCTCTTTCTGATTGTCTCTCACTTTTTCCTCTACCCAACCCAGTCATGTTTGCTTCTCCCTCCACAAAACTTCCTTGGACAGGATCCTTAGTTACCACAGGGTCCTGAATCTGATGCTCCCACCTGAAACCTTTCTTAGTGATTCCCAGCATCTGATATTTGCCTGACTCTAGGTACCCACACTTTCCAGTTTTCCTCCTACCTGCTGGCTTTTCCTATGCAGATCCTTGCCTGATTCTGTCTTATTTCTGCAGGGCTCAGTGTGAACTGTTGCCTTCCTCTGTCTAAACGTCCTCCCATTTTGTCCAGGCCCATAGCTTGAAGTACCACTAACTTTGCCTCTCAGACCCAAAGCTCCACTGCCAGCCAATACTGAGCTTGCAGCACACACCAGTAACTGATGTGACTATACTTTGATATATGGTCAGTACTTTCAACTCTTCACAGTCATGCTGATATCCCTTCCAAGCCTTCTCCTACCCTAGCCTCCTGAAGTGGCAGCTCTATCCCTAGACAAACTTGGAGTCACCCTGATTCATCCTCTCTCCCCATATCCAGGCCATAAGGCAACCCTGCCACCTTTATCTTCCAGACAAAATACCTTACACCAATTCTGCCACTACCTGAACTAAGCCGCCTGACATGATTGGAATAATTGCAGTAGTCCTAGTGACAGTGTAACTCTTGCCCCCCACCCTATCCAGAGTTTAGTTTCAGTGTAGTAGCTAGCATAATCCATACAAAGCTTAGAGTCATACTGAATCAGATCCTGCCTCCCTGCCCCCTACTCTGTTTAGGACCCAATATTGATTCTGATCTTACCCAAATACAAATCCAAAGTTCTACTTACTATTTTTTTTTCATATTGGGATTGAACCAAGGGCTGAGCTATATCCCATCCCCAGCCCTTTTTTATTTATTTGTTTATTTTTATTTTGAGACAGGGTCTCCCTAAATTGCTTAGGACCTTGCTAAGTTGCTGAGGCTGGTTTTGAACTTGTTATTCTCCTGCATCAGCCACCCGAGTTGCTGGGATTACAGGCATACACTACCACACCTGGCTCCCAGTACTTTTTATTGTTTTTATTTTGAGATAAGGACTCACTAATTTGCCCATGTTGGCCTCAAATGTGCCTCAGCCTGCTAAGTAACTGGAATTACAGACCTGTGCCACCATGGGATCCAAAGCTCTTTTCTTTCTTTCTTTCTTTCTTTCTTTCTTTCTTTTCTTTTTTTTTTTTTTAATGATACTGGGAATTGAACTAGGACACTCTTCTATACCCCAAGCCCCTTTTTACATATTCATTTACTTTTATTTTGAGACAGAGTCTTGCTGAATTGCCTAAGTTGGTCTCAAATTTGCAATTCTTCTGCCACAGCCTCTAGAGTAACTGTGACTTTAGGTATGTACTACCACCCTTGCCCCCTCCAAAATTCTTATGGTGGCATGACAGGGCTCCACAACATTTGGCCCTCTCATGAGCCTCCAACCAACCCTGTAACCATCTCTTGCCTTACCCAGCCCCAGCCCCAGTGGCCTCCTGGCTATTTTCAGATGTCAGGCACATTCTATCTCAGAGCTTTGCACTGGCTGATCCCACTGACTAGAACTTTCCTCCAAAGATGTTCGAATAGCTTCTTCTTTCTTCAAATCTCTGATGGCCTCTTTAGTGAGGGTCACCCTGATCTACCTCCTGATCCCTTGTTTTCTATTGCCCTTGCCTTGATATTTTATTTCCCATAACACTGAGCATCTTCTAAGAAGTGATTTAAGCTAGTGGTTTGTTTAATATTTCTGTTCTGAATCCAGTTCTTCACTAGTTCTTCACTGCTGTACTTGGCAGGTGCTGGAAGAATGCCTGGCACATAGGAAGTCTCAATAAACACATAATTTCTGGGGTAATAGCTAAGTTGTATTGTGTTTGCCTTGTTATGTGCAAGGTCCTTGGTTCAATTAGGAATTAAAGCTAGCACCTCTTAAAAGGCTGGAGGTGTATCTCTGTGGTAGAATGCTTGACTAGCATGCATGAGGCCCTGTATTCAATCCCTAGCACTGCAGAAAAAATAAACAAATAGTTGTAGACTGACTAATTAATGCATCCCTTTTCATTTGATAAGTGACTATGTGCATGTAAACATGGGTGAGGATTTTTTGGGCAAGGACAGTGGCTGGGCAGGGAAATCAATATGCTTTTGTCCCTTTTCCTAGTCTATATATCTTATTTTTCTGTAACATTCACAAGAAAAACAGTGAAAATAAGTAGAGATGATGTCTATATTAGACTTTCTGGCTACCCTGCCTTTTTTTTTTTAAATATTCTTTTTTAGTTGTAGATGGACATGATACCTTTATTTTTTTTATGTGGTGCTGAGGATTGAACCCAATGCCTCACATGTGTGAGGCAAGCGCTCTGCCACTGAGCCACAATCCCAGCCCATCTACCTTCTTAATATTCCAAAAAGAGCAAGGAAAAAATTCTTTCAGAACAATGTTTTATTTTCAGTGCTGGAGATGGAACCTAGGATCTCATGCATGCTATGCAAGTATTCTACTCCTGGGCTACATCCCCAGGCTTAGAACAAGATTTTTAAAGTATAAAGGGGGAGGAAAAAACTGGGAAATTCTTCAAAACATTTAAAAATGCTTAATAAGGCCCAAGGGCCTGAAAACCCATCCTCATGGAGGCTGAATGGCTAGAATTTGACAGCCAGAGACAAGGGATACTCAATTTCACATAGTCTATGGGCACATGGCTTTGGAATCTAGTGCAGTGGTTACATCACCTGTCCTCTCTTTGCTGGAGCTGTTGTCCCCTGATCAGGCTAGAAGAGGCCTTTGGAGGCCAGGGTCCCTCTCAATCCAGTACTATATGTGTTGGGGAGTGGGTAGCTACTGTTAGCAAATCCCACCAGCCTGGTGTTTTGATGATGCTCTATCCTACAGCGCTCTTTGGATGGAAAAAGTATGTGAAAAGATCCCCTGGGCCTATTAGCAGGACAGACTCTGCCTCTTGTTGCCCCTGACTCCCCAGCAGCCAAGGGTTCCAGACAGGGCTCTGGCCCCATCTGATGGAGAACAGGCCTGAGAAATCCAGAGGGTAGCTCCTCATGACAGGGCACCCTAGGCTCCATCCACCTCTAGGCTAGTGTTCAGCTCTTTCCTGTGGCCACAGGTCTTCTGGGTGAGTTTCCAGGCTGGAGTCAGGTGCCTGGAGATGGTGGGAATGGGATTCAGGAAGCCCCCCTCTACTCAGCTGGTACTGCTATGGGCCAAGCAGCCACCAGCTTGAGGAAGTTCTTTTTTCAGGAGTTTCCCAGGCTGGCAGCTGCCTTGCTAGTTCAAACTAGATTTTTCCTGCTGTCCTTTCTCTGGTGGCCTAGCATGGTGCAGGGTCTCTCCTAATGAGGGTTTGATGCCAAGGCCTGGACAGCTCCATCCTGCTGTGTTGCAGCTGGTTTAGGTTTGCCTAAGGCGATGGACAGCTTCCCAGTGCCACTGGGCCAGGACACCTGGGGCCTCCTTGCAGCCCCTGCCCTGCCTTGGACTGCCACCCCCTCCCCCACTGCCACTCAGAGCCCCACACATAGGAACTCACTAACCCACCTTTATTCACAGTTGATTTTACTGTTAATAAAAAGATCAGCCCAATGGAGCATAGGATCCCTGGACTTTTGTCCCTAGACTCAAGGCATTGACAGAGGGTTAACCTGGCAGCCTCGGAGCCAGGGGAGGGCAAGAGGCCCTTCCTGGTGCTTCTTCAGGGCTCAGCTGCCCCCAACTCAGACCCTCTGTGAAGCTGCTGGGGATGCACCTCACGTTGCCTCCTTCCGGAGGCCTCTCTCTGTCCCACTTCCTGGGGCCTCATTAATTCCTCCCCACCTCACCCCGTGAGAAAGCAGGTCTGTGTTGAGCTTGGCCCAGGCCCAGAGCTGGATCTGAGCATGCCATTAGTTGTACTGGGAGGCAGGAGAAGGGGTATGTGGGGGTCTTGCCCTGTCTCCACCTTCATCCAGGCGAGGAGACAGGGGGCTCTCCATCACTATCCGTGTCCTGACCCTATCCCACTTTCTAGGGACCCAGGGACTGTAGAAACCAAGAATATAAAACACAGCTGGTCTTATGTGTATTTATAAAAGGGGGCTGCCAGTCCTTCCCAGCCCTATCCCATTCTGGCCCTTGGGGTCTTTGGCTCCCAGGAGCAGGACACTCTAGGCTTGGTCCCTCGTCTCCCAGCAGTGGAATGTGAGCTATGATCCAGGCTTGGGGTGGGGGAGTCCCAGCCTCCCCAGGACTGGTGAAGGGACAAGGCTAGGGTTCCTTGGGGGGACCCATGCTAGCCCTATCCTCAGCATAACCTTGTGGCCCCAGCTATGGATGGGGTCTACTCTCATGGAAGGGATGGGAAAAGAGAATAAGAGTATTCAAGGGCCTGAGCCCAAGTGTCCAAAAGGGGCCAAAGGGATAGAGGGAGTGAAAGCAAGTGGGATGGAGGAGATGAGGCCTCGGGTGCAGACCCTAACCTTGCAGCAGAGTGGAAGAATGACTGCAGGCCTGGGTTCTAGCTCTGTGTGCCCCTAGGCTGTGACCTCAGGAAGCAGTTGTTGGGCCCCAGCATATGCAACTCTGCCAGGGAGATGAGGGATTTGAGTGGGATCTGAGGCAATAACCCCACCCTGTTCACAGCTCAGGAAGCCTCTAAAGCTTGGGAGCCCTGTAGGTAGTGCCCCAGGGCCTTGGTCCTGGTTCTTTAACAAAAACCTTCCATGGAGAGGACATGGGCGGGGCCAAATGCTATAGTATTTTCCATGCCTGTCTCCCCTATCTTTCTCCCCCTGACTAGCCACTGGATGGAAGCAGGGGCTGGAGAGTCTAGGCAGGGGCACTAGGATAATTAAACGAAACGGTTTGGGGTCATCCTAGTGGTTTCCTCCATGCTGGCTGGTTCCTGAGACCCAGTCAATGATGATGAAGCTCAAGCTCATGGTCATCAGCAAGAGGCCAAGAACAGCAAAGCAAAGGGCCTATAGGATCAGAACTGAARGTCAGGTATAAAGGTTCAGGGCAGCCTCCTTAGTCCCACACCAACCCACCAGCCTCCAGGTCCCTCGCACCAGAATTTTGGGGGTGGATCTTGCAGGCTCCTTCTCAGTGGGCATGATTCGGAAGTAGAAGATGGCAGGAAAGATGAAAATGAGGCATGGGGCAGATGTGGCACCTGAAAAGAACAAAGCATGGTCACTGATGACTCTTGTTCACTTACTGGCCAAGTTTCAGGGATAGATGCTTCAATGAGATCAAATATTCTCACTCTACTTGAGAGTGCTGCCTGATTCTGGGGAGCCCACCAACCTCTGCCTTTGATCTCCACCTATCAGAATGGAAGGCTGGTGCTGTTGGTGTCAGAAGGAAGTCAATGAACAAAGTTGGCAATGAGAAAAGGAAGTTATGTTGGAGCAATGAAGCCTTAAGGATACTGGCTCCTGGGTATAACTTTCTATAGTTTGGATCCTGAATGTTCCCCAAAGGTTCAAGTATTGGAAGACTCTGAAGGGATCTGGAAGGGTCAAGTGCTAGGATACCTTGGGGCCCAGGGTGGCTGTTGGGAGGTGGTGGAAATGTTAGGAGGTGGGGGGATCTTAGGCCATTGGGAGTGTGCTCTTGGATGGGATTATGGGATCCTGATCTCTTCTTCTTTCCCTTTTATTTCCTGAGCTTGAGGTATGTGGTTAGCTCCTGCAATAATGTGGTACCTTGCTACAGGACCAAAGCAATAGGATCAAAAATCATGAAATGGAACTTCTAAAACTGTGAGCCAAAATAAACCTATTCTCATCCTCTCTCTCTCTCTCTCTCTCTCTCTCTCTCTCTCTCTGTGTATATATATATATATATATATATATATATAAATTTTTTTTGGTGGTACTGGGGATTAAACCAGGGCCTTGTGCTTGCTAGTTGAGTACTCTACCACTGAGCTACATCTGTAGGCCCAGTGATTTCTTCCTTACTTCATTTTGAGCTAGATTTTTCAACTCATAAAAGCAATATCTTGTCCTTGATATTCATAATACTCAGCACCAAGACTGTATCAGACCTCACAGAGTTGGGTCAAGGAGTCACAGTGAGTCAGTATTCTGAGTTGGGTCACCCCAAACACGTATCAGAATTGTCTGATCTTCCAGCTCAGAACCCCACCTGTGATGGAACAGTGGACAGAGCATCAAGCCTACAGCTTGGTAATCCTAGGACTGAATCAAGGCTCTCTACTCACTAGCTGTGTGGCCTTGCTGCTTCTTTAATCAGTGTGGACTTCAGTTTCCTTGTTATAATAGGGACAAGAACCAATGAGGTCCTTTTGCTTTTCTTTCTGTTTTTTTTTTTTTTTTTTTTGGTGCCTGGGATTGAACTAAGGGGCACTTGATCACTGAGCCACATCCCCAGCCCCATTTTGTATTTCATTTAGAGAGAGGTTCTCACTGAGTTGCTTAGCACCTCACTTTTGCTGAGGCTGACTTTGAACTTGAGATCCTCCTGTCTCAGCCTCTGAGCAGCTGGGATTACAGGCGTGTGCCACTGCACCCGGCCTGCTTTTCTTTCTTTCCTTCTTTTCAGAAAGGGTCTCATTATGTTGCCAGGCTGGTCTCAGATGGGCTCAAATAGTCCTCTTGCCTCAGTCTCCCAAGGAGATAGGGTTACAGGTGTGTGCTACCATGCCTAGCCTAGTGAGATCCTCTGTGGAGGCCCTTGAACACTGGAGTCCACCTCTGCCTCCCTAGCAAGAAGGATTGACTCAGTAGTTCTCAGGCTTCAAAAGAGCCTACAATAGCCTTAAGGACAGAAGCTCAGATGCACCACCAAAAAAAAAAAAAAAAAAAAAATCACCCARGATTTGCAGAAGTGAGGCAATACCCCCACTTCCACAGCAGGACCAAATTCTCACCGATGATCCCAAAGATGCCCAGGATGTTGGGGGCAAAGATAACCAGCAGGTTGATACACGTGAGCAGACCAGTCGCAATGAGCACATGCCGCAGCCAGCTGAACTCCTGATTCTGAAATAGCATCTGCTGGATGGCACGGCGCACCTGGGGGCAGGTTGGAAGAGCCATCAGCCTGTCTGCCCCATCAACCCCATTCCCCATTGGCTCAGCCACCCATCCACTGGCTCACCGGGAACAGAACAATCGGCACTGTGAGTGTGACAGCTGTCAGCACAGCCACGCGTACACACAGGATCAGAACATCAAATGGGTCCACCTTGCTGTAGGTGTGCAGCAACTCTGACTCCACCCCGTCTGTGGCAAGCAGGGAAGGTGGTCAGCAGGCCAGGGGTGTTGGACTCTGAGCTGCCTGGTGGACCCTGACACTTTGGGGAGTGGCACTCAGACTCACCTCCACAGCTGCAGGGCATAGGCAGGTATCATGCACCTAATGAGCACCTATAGTATGCAGGGCACCATGGCTGCTGACCAGCCCCTGTCACCCAACCTGGCCTCTGCCCTAGTCCCCACTGGTCCAGTCATACCGTAGAAGGTGAGGTAGCCGAAGAGAGCAGCCAAGAAGTACATGACGTACATGACGGCAATGGACAGGTTGGAGATATGTTGCATCTTTCTCTTGGAGGGGCTATGAGGCAGTAGAGAAGAGAGCTTAGTGACAAGTTGGGCCACATCTGGAGAACTCCATGTGCCAGTCACTTTGGTACCACATCCTCACTATTTGACAGAAGAAGGGAGTCTCCTTCTTGCCCTGAATGTCTTCATAGCAGCCATGGATATCTCTGGCCAGGTAACTTGGATTGTGTTAACCTCCTTGCCCCCTCCCACCCTGGTCCCATCCATTCTCCCCAAACCAGCTCAAGGCAGCCCCAATCCCTCTTCCATCCACAGACACGTACTCCTTGAGCTCTGTGTAGATGGGCAGCACCTCAGGGTGGCAGACGAAGGCGAAGGCCATGATGGGTATGGTATATGCTGTCTGAGGACATATGGGGTTGTGTCAAGCCAGCTCCTTGCCACCAGGCCCCCCCCCATCCCTACCATGGCCTGTTGGAACCTGTGAGTTGAGTGTGAAGTAGCTCGGGGTACAGAGGGCAGCAGCCTCAGGTTCTCCTTGCAGCTGCACTTTCTCCTCAAGGATTTCTGTGTGGCTGAAGTTGCCAGTGACGTTGGCTAAGTTGAGAGGCAGGGGACAGGGCACTTGGAACTTTTTGTAGATGACCTTGGGTGGGAAAGGATGAGGGTTTCAGAGCCAGGCTGGGCTGCCTGTGAGGTCACCATGAAGCCATATCTAGATCACAAATTGGAGGAGCTACTTTTTTTTTTTTTTGGTACCAGGGATTGAACTCAGGGGCATTAGACTACTGAGCCACATCCCCAGACCTATTTTGTATTTTATTAGAGACAGGGTCTCACTGAGTTGCTTAGTGCCTTGCTGAATTACTGAGGCTGGCTTTGAACTTGCGAGCCACTGGGATTACAGGCGTGTGCCACCCTGCCTGGCCTGGAGAAGCTACTTTCTGATCCAGGCATCCCCCAAACATCTGTACCTTCTCTTTGACAGAGGACTCCCCTACCCCTTTCTTGACCAACATGGAGGGTGACTCACAGCAATTAGGAAGAACACCATGCAGCTGAGAGAGAAGCCACTGGAGTAGCCCAAATAGCCTGCAAAAGGGGGAGGATGGCTGTGAGAGTGGAGCTCTCTCATGTGTTCCTCCAATATCCCCTCCAAGAGGACTGTGAGATTGGGATCCCTTCTGTACATCCCTCCAACATCCCCTCCAAGGCCTGACCCTACCACACCCACCAAGCTGCCGCATCAGTGCCAAGGGCAGAATGACAGTGACGGACACCAGGATCACCAGGTAGTTCCCATTCATGTACCAGATCCTGTAGGGATGGGAATGGGGTGCCAGGGTTAAAGTCCACCACTTGGCCTGGGGTGGGGCCACCTGCCTCCCCCAGTTAGGGACATCAGCAGAGCTACTGAATAACCTCTGAAAATCTTTGATCATAACTGAGTCTCCTTGCTCTGAATTACAAAATGGGCACACTCTCACACTCTCCTTCTATGTGATGTAAGGACAAATGTGCTAACCTAGCACACACATAGTTTGTGCTTACTATTGCAGTTCCTGCTGGTGTTTTCATAGCACACATAGGTCTGGGTTGAGCCCTCCTGAGGGAGATGAGTGAGATGAGGGACCTTCCTCTGGGAGGTGGTGTTTTCCATGGGGGCCTTAGGGACTTGCTTATGACCCTGTGGTTCCTCCTGGCATCTGCATTTTGCATCACCCCACCCCCTCAACCTCCTAGAAATGGACATGAGGTTCAGGGAGGTAAGGGGATAAGGGCCAGGACCATCTTTCTAGGACAAACCCAAAGGCCAACTTCTTGGGAAAGGTGGTGGGGTCTAGGAGGCAGTATCCTGGCTCTTCCTGCCTCCCAGAGCTTCACTCAGGCTCACAGCCCCTTCACTTGCTTGGGCTGGGCTGCAAGAGCAGAGCTGGCCACCTTCTCTCTGATTCCCACCCACAAGACAAAGTTGATACCTAGTCAGTGCTGGCTAAAGTAATGGGCAACCAGGACAACCAGGGCTTAATCTCTTGGTGGGAGGAGAGGCGGGGCTGACCCCATGGTCAGGAATAGTAGGTGCTTAGAGATAAGCCTGAGGCTGTCATGCTCACAGGAGGGGTCCAAGCTCAGGCAGGACCAGCTTCCTCAGTCTCACCTTGGTCCCAGCCCCAGGTGTCCCCATCTGGGGAGGGGTTCACTTAGGTGGTCCATAAACAAGTGGGAGCTAAGTGCTGGCTCTGCTGGCAGCTTTCTGTCCTTCCACCAGCCCTATGTCCACAGTCTCATCTTCCCCCAAAACCCAGCCTGGGCCCCCCAGGGCCAGTGGACACAGGGAGGGGGACTGGGACCTCCCACCCTCACCCCCACCCCCAGGGCTCACGAGGTCTTCTCCTCCAGGTTCAGGAATGTCTGTATGACAAGAGGCAGCTCAGATTTGATGATGTACAGATAGCTGGACATGGCTAGGGAGAAGGGAAAAAGGTGCTGGGGTCAGCCAAAACAGCCAGCCCTCAGCCCTGTACATCACTAATTGCCTGCCACCTGCCCAACTGGCTTTACCTCCAATGTTCTGCAGTGTGATGGCCAGGGCTGCTGCCAGCTTTCCAGGAGTTCCAAAGGCACGGTAGCCCAGCTGCTCATAGGCGCGGATGCCTGTAGGAACAGGGGATCAGGACACCCTGGGTAGCTCATACCAGTCTGCTCCAGCTCCACCCTTTTGCAGGCTGGTGGGAGGCTCACCCACAATTCCTGAGGATTTGAGAAGCAGGTGGATGGAATAGCTAGAGAGGAGGGCCACGGCCGTCAATAGGAACCTGGGGAAAACAGAGAAAAAGAAGCCACTAGGGACTCCCCTGGCTGCTAGGGGGTAAGGGTGTCTAGGAAGTCTGGGGAGGTCTATCATCTGGACCCCTGACTGGATGTAGATGCAGGCTCTGCATTTCTGGTGGTTGAATACCATTTTGTTTGACTGAACATGGGACATAACCCATAAGGGTCCCTGTGGGTCAAGAGCAACCTATGACTAAGGAGTTCTTGGAATAAACATGTTTTCCATTTAGGCTTCAGGGCAGATCCCCCAGACCAAGACATGTGTGCCACACAGGTCCTGGCCACAGGGTTTGACCATCACATGTAAACATGGTTGAAGAACAGACTTGGGCCTATAAAGCCGGCTCTGTGTCATGGCCTCAGTGGGTTTTCTGGGCTGTGAAGTATATTTGTCTGGCTGTGGATGTTTGCGCAGAAGTGGTTTGGGTTTAGAGTAAAAGGTCCCCACCCACTGAACAGGGAACTAGTGGGTCCTAGGAGGTCATGGTGGTGGCTTATTCAGGGCTCCCCATCTATACAAGTTTTGCTGAAGGCACTCACAGGAAAAGGATGATGCCTGTATTGGCCATGGCATAGGCGAGTCCCAGGATGCCACTGCCCATGATGGCATTGCTGAGGTTGAACACTGACATCCCAAACGACGTCTTCCCCTCGAACTGCAGGCACCAGAATGGGGTGGTGAAATGGCAGCAAGACTAGGGCATTGTGTCATTCCCCCTTGCTGTCACTTGGCCTCCCATCATCATCAATGAGCATGTATTACTGCAACCAAGCTCCCCACAGTGCCCCCAAGCCCCTTAGGCTAGCTGGCTTACATCGGTGAAGTGTGGCTCCTTGCTGGGGCTTTTCTGTAGGAAGCCCTTACTTTCCACACAGCTCTGTCGAGAGTCCTCAGCTCTGCAGACACAGGCCAGGAAAGGCAGCTCAGTTCCAGTCTTGTACTCTGTACCCCTGCCCTGCACTGTCCCGGCCACCACTGGGACATACCTCTGGTTGTCTACATACCTCTGGTTGCCTGCTGTGGGTGTGCTGACTGGGAGCAGCCCCTCCATGTGTTTGCCATTGGGCACCAGCTCCACCATCTCTGTCTGCAGAGGCACCTCCATGGCTCAGGGACGACCACTGGAAGTATAGTTCTCACACCAACAACAGGCTGTCTGTGGAGCAGCCAGTCCCTCTGGTTATCCCCACTCTGTGGCCCACTGCCCAGTTCCTCAAATGAGGTCAGAAACCATAGCACCCACCCAAAAGGTCACTCAGGACACACACACACACACACACACACACACACACACACGCACACACACAGACGTGCACACGCACGCACGGGCGCGCGCGCACACACACACACGCAACTTGCCTGCTGTCTCTCTGTGATCTGCCTTTGTAGAGGGCATAGCTTGGACACCTGAGTATATCCTAATAGGACACTTCTGCCAGCACAACTCCCCTGCATATTCTAGCCTAGTCAAGCCTTTGGGGCCTCAGTTTCCCCATCTGTGAAGTGAGGGTCATCTGGATGACCCAATTCTGAGCCCAATGGCATCAGGGCCCCTGGATGCTGAGTCCTAGGCTCCCAGACTCTACTCTGGGTTTGCACCCTAGATGGACTTCCTCCTTCCACACTAGTCCTGGGAGACAGTTTTATGCACTGGCCCTGTGTGCCAGGGGCATTCTGACCAATATAGAATGGCACTGCCCAACATCTAGAGGCCTCAGGAGAGGGTGAGGGCTGTGGGCTCTGTTCCCAGCCGCCCGGCGGGCACTGCTGGCAGCCAAAACAAAGGGCCCTCTGTGGGCTGAGAGCTGGCGCTGGGAACAGCAGGCGCAGAGGCTGCCCGCCCTCCCAGAGCCAGGAGGCCTGAGGCAGTGCTGGGTGACTGGACACCTGGGCCCTTCCTGCCTGGCTATGGCGAAAGGCCCTCAGGGGACCTTCCAGGAAATGGGTGTTCCATGGCTCAGTTCTCTGGGCCTCATGGTCTTCATCTTCCACATAGTCCTGGCCCCAGGACCATGTTCTCCTTGTAGCCTCTCCTCTCCTCCAGGGAGGCCCCAGTGCTCATGTGCCCATTATCCAGGATCATACCTCCAAGCAGAACTCTCATTCCCCGAGTCCCTGGACAGAGCTCAGGGGCTCGACCACCTGAAGAGGAGCCTAGATCACCAGGTCAGTGTCCTTTTCTCTGTTCTCAGGGCCTGGCCTAGCTGGATTCTAGGATCCAGCTTCCCTCCGCTCCCCCTGCACACTGCCCAGACAACTTACTGGCCCCTCGCCCACCAGTGGGGCCTGGAGTTGCCTATCCCATGCYCAGAACGTGTCTGAATCCAGGGTCTGTCAGGACATCACAGACTGGCTAGTAGAACTGAGCCAGAGTGCAGATCAGGAAAGGTGGTTCTGCCTGGCAGGTTGGCCAGAGACTAGTCCTGGGGCCATGGTACCCCTCTGCTTGGGAACCCCAAGTTCTGCCCTGAATCCCCATTTCCCACTGCAGACCCTTGGGTCTGCTCTTGAGTCTAGAGCGCCAGGGAACTCAAACCAACACTATGTGCTGGGAACAATGAGGAGATGGGGATAGCTGCCTCACATTACCACTACAGGACCCCCCCTCTCCATTGCCCCAGACCAGAGTTCAGATCCCTGTCATCTCAGCCCTGGAGATCCCATACCTGGCATCCTACATGCTTCTGTTCCTCAGCTGTCAGCTCTGAGCATCCCTCCCCTCCCAGCCAACTTAGCTAGGACATATGTTAAAATATCTCTCTCTCTTTTTTTTTTTTTTTGGTATAGTTCAATCTTTTGAAGATTGAACCCAGAGGTGCTTGACCACTGAGATACCCACCCCCCAGCCATTTTTTAAATTTCAAGACATGTCCCACTAAGATACCCAGGCTGGCCATGAACTTACAGTCCTGCCTCAGCCACTTGAATAGCTAGCATTACAGCTGTGTACCACCATACCTGGCTTGATATCTCATCTTGCGCCCTCTTTCCCTAGTCCAGGGTTCCCTAGGCCAGCCTGTTCTCATGCCCCTGCCTAACTCTTGCCATCAGAGTCCCTCTAAGGATTCCACCTGGATGCACAGGTACCAGTGACGGGTCTCCAGAGTCCCTCCAGAGCTCCCCCTGGCACTAAGCCAGGGTTGCCCTTGCCTGGCCCCCAGCCCTGGGCAAGCTAAGACAGGCCCTTGGAGTGTGCTGAGTCGGCAGCAGGCACAAAGCACCCTTCTCTGTCTTAATAACCAAGGTCTGAAGGCTTGTCTGGGCTGGTGTGTGTAGGGGGTGCACTATACACTGGCTACGGTGTCCCATCAGGACACCTAGCAGCCAGACACTGCCTCCAGGGAAACCCCAATCCATGGCATGGGCCTTGGGAGGTGTATGAGGTTCTGGCTCTAGGTTCACTATCCCCCTGCTGGATGAAGGCTTCAACCTTTAGGGTCTGGTGGTCATTATTCACTCATAACCAGTCATTGCTGGGTCTCAGGCTGGGCTGAGATTCCAGAAAGGACATGAAATATCCCTCTTCAAGTGACCTCCAGTCTGGAAGCAGGGGAAAAAGAGCAAAAAACAATAAAACAAATTCCACCCCTCCACACTACCCTAAAGTTCCTGCTACAAATATGAACCACATTGTACTTGGACTCAGAGAAGGGGAAAGAGGGCCTGGGGACATAGCTCAATGATACAGTACTAGCCTAGCATGTGTGAGGTTCTGGGTTCTATTCCCAGCACAGCAAAAAAAGACAAGAAAAAGGGAATGGGGTAAAAGGAGTCATCAAGGAGGGTGATGAAGCCAGTCCTAAAATTCCAATAGGAGGCCCTGAGGTGTGGAATAGGAAAGAAGGCCTCAGACAGAGGGCTAAGCATGGGCAACGCTTCTGTGGTGTGGGGCAGGCAGTGAGGGTGGAATAAAGTTGTTGTGGCTACAGACAAGCCTGAAAGGCCATGGCAAAGTCTGTACATAGGTCAAGGCCAGGCCTGAGGGCTAGGAGGCCAGAGTGGGATTAGCTCTGGCCTGGCACTCAGGACCGTAGCCATTCCCTGAGGCTGCTAGCCCATCTTTGAAAGCTCTCATCCCTCAGGCTTGGTGCCTCCCACAATCCTTTGCATTGGGGAGTCAGGAAAAACTCAGAGGGGAGCCCCTGAAGGACAAAGCTGCCAGTGAAGCCTGACCCACGGTGGTGAAAGCCTGGACCAGACCTGAGGCAAAGGTCTGGCCTGGCCAGCCTCACTGTGTAGCCATAGAAAGAGTATTCCTGAGACAGGGTTTCCATGACCTCTGGCATCCAGGTTTCCTATGAGGCTTGGCCAAAGTTGAGGATAGAATGAGGAGCCTCCCTAAAGCCTTTGCCCCGAGAACAGACCATAGGTACCCAGAGAAAAGTCAAGCATTACAGCAGGGCGATCATTATGACTGTGGGAAAGTCATCAAAATGGCATCTGTCACGGGTACAGAATTGATGACCTGGGCTCCTGCTCTGGGAGTTATTTGCTCTACTGGGAGAGAAGACCAGGGGGCCCAGGAGCCACAGGATGGTGTAGCAGGTAACACCTGCCCACGCGGGCATCACAGAGTGAGAATTCATCAGGCACACCTCTGCAGGTGTTGAGTTTGGCTAATTAAAGACTTTCAGGCCCAGGAATCCAGGCCACTGTGGGGTGATTGCTTTCGTCAGCCACTACAGGAAGCACACCTCTTTGCCCTGGGATCAAGGTCCTTGGAGTCCCCAGGCTCTGAATCCTGCTTTCCTTTCCAATGCTCAGGGACATAAGTCCATCTGCAGTGGTGGGCTGGCTACAGGGAGACATCTGCTTGCCCTTCCTTTGGTCCTGTGGCCACATGCACTGATGGAGGCATAACCCCATTGATAATATTGCTATAGGCCAGGCTTCCAATACCTAGAGAGTCCTGACCTCAGTCCAAGGAGGACCTGGGGAGAAGCAGCTAGTGTGGCTTGAGGTCTGCTGTGGTTATCCCTGGGTGAGGTTCGGGGTGAGGGCTGTCCACAGTCCCAACTCAGCCCATCCTTACCATTCCCCTCCTTGGCTGAGACAGGGCACTCACACTACCCAGCTACCCCTCTGCCCACCATCTTCTCCAGGCTTCAGGGGAAAGAAAATCCTTTCTAAGGCAGAGTATAAGTCAGTGGGTAAACTAGATGCAATCAACATATTTGAATTGTGTATCCTCCAGGCACAGCCAGGGGCTACTGGGAGCTGAGGTCAGAGGTCTAGGGCTAGGGCAAGTAGGAGGCTGTTAGAATAGGGGAGAGTACAAAAACACCCCCTTGTTCCTCCCCCAGGCCACAACCCCATATTTTATCCCAGTCCCCCATCTGCCACTCCTCATTGTCAACAACACATAACAAAAAGTAGCCAACCCTGGGCTGGTTCTGAGGGGATAATGTACAGGAGGGGGCACATTCAGAGAAAGGTTAATGGCCCAGAACATTAATAGAGTCACCACACCAAAACCTCATTTCCCAGCTCCCTGGTTCTGGGATTAGGGCTCTCTGTGTCTGTGATCTGGGCATCCGGAAGTGTCTAGGAGGATCTGAGAGTCCCAACCAGGACCGGAAGGTAGACTTTCCTTTGGTGGGGAACATTTCCTAGACATCCAACAGATGCTTACCAGCCRCATAGGCTTTGCCTCCTACCCAGCCCTGGACCCTCCTTGCTCAGGCTTCCTCCATTGGAGGTTGTAACCAGAACCTCTTGACTCAAGACTGGGCTAGAAGCCAGGTGTTGTGGCACAAACCTATAGTCCCAGCTTCTTGAGAGGCTGAGGCAGGAGGACTGCTTGAGCACAGGAGTTTAAACACAGCCTGGGCAACAGAGCAAGACCCTGTCTCAAAAAAAAAAAAAAAAAAAAAAGACTGGGCTAGAGCCAGCAGCACCTCCCTCTCCCCCTCCATTGCCAGCCTGCTGAGAGGGACGTGTAGCCAGAGGCCCAGCAGAGGCAAAGGACAGGACATCACGTGACTGTGGCCCCCCAGGGGCAGGGGAGACCCTGCGCCAGCCAACTCATCTTCCTCCCTGCTGACCCGGAATCCCCTGGAGGCGGCCAAATATTTGGACAGCCGGACTTCTGGCCCCAAAGAAAGC